GGATTTCGGGGCGCGATCCCGCGGATTCGCGGTCGCACGGATACGTTGCGCGGGGCATCCGCGAAGAAACGCCCTGCATCTGCGGGGTCGCAGCACATGGGCCTGGCCCGCGAGGCCACGGATGCGGATATGCTTTTCGTCCACGGAGTAAGGCCCTGAGTTCCGCGGCGTTGCATTTCTTTCGCAACGGGCGTTTTCGCCCAGTCTCGGGCCCCAGGACCATTACAGATCGATCCAGCTCTTTGAATGCCGCAGAGTGGTGGGGTCTAAGGCTACGGACGTGATTTTTCGCGATGCTGTATTCTTTCGCAACGTCGGGATTCAGGAGGTACCACCGCTGCTCGTCCTGGAAGGCCCTCGTCCTGGATTCTCCTCGAGCCCTGACTCCGGGTCCGCCCTACTTTGGGCGATTTCGCACGTAGGGTGGATATGCCCGGTCTATTTTTCAATGTCATTTGATGGTGATTTCCTCTCTACTTTGCGGTCTCTGTTTCCGCTTTTCCTTTGCCAAATATCCGTGCCGAAGTATCCGCCCTACTTGTACGAGGCGGACATGCTCGCCCTATTTGTTCGCATTGTTCTGGGTGCACTTCCGACACACCCGCGAGTCGGAAAATCAGCCAGAGCACGGCGGATCCGGAGTCGAGGAGATGCTGGTCAAAGCGCGCCCCGGGAGAGGTCTGGGGAGTGGCGGCATCGGTATCCTTCTGGTTCCCCAGGCCCGCCGCAGCCCCGCGAGCACCTGGAGATGGCCAACGCCGCGTGCTCGAGCCGGTCGGCGCTGGCGGTCCGGCCGACCGCGCGAGAGGCCCAGGCGGAGGCTTGGACGGCACAGCACATGCTGCAGATCTGGGTCCTCATGCGCGTCTGCGGCGTCGTGCTGCTGGAGGAGGTGATCCCGCAGGATCTGGTAGCGAGCGTCCGGCAGGCACAGGCCGATCACTTTGCCCTCTCGCCCGCCATGGGAGGAGGAACAGAACTCCACAGGCAGAAACTTTCGGAGGTCCGCGCGGATTTCTCGGGTCGGTGCTTGGCCCCCTCCACTGGCGCGCGGAGCGTGCCAAGGGCGGCGCCGGAGGCGCCGCCAGGGGGGCGCAGCGCAGATCCAAGAAATCCGCGCGGTGCTCCGACAGCTTAGGTTTCTATGGTAGTTTGTTCCTCCATGCCAGAGCACCGCGTGCGCACGCGTTCCAGGAGCTGGACGCTGCGTCGCGCGGAGGGCTACGCCAGGAGGTGAAGCTGCCCCTGATGCCACCATTCACGGACCCCAGACTGTGCGCTGGACCGCTGCTGCGTAGCGTCGTCAAGCTTCTGGCCGTCGAGGAAAAGAAAACCGCATACCTCGTACGCTTTTCAAGATCAATTCCATGTTGTTTTTTATTAAAATTTCTGGTTGCGTAACAGTTGAAAGTAATTACCCCAGTGCGACCTTACCTAGAAGTTGGAGCCCCTAGGAAAGCAGCATTAGTTGCTATGCTATGTTATGTTATGCCATGCCATGCTATGCTGCGCTATGCTAATGCTATGATATGATATGCTATGCTATGCTGCGCTATGCTATGCTATGTTATGACATGCTATGATATGCTCTGCTATGCTATGCTATGTAATGCTGCGCTGTGCTATGCTATACTATGATATGCTATGCTAAGCTGCGCTATGCTATGCTATGCTACGCTAAAGCTCAGCGAAGCTAATACGAAAGTAAGCTAAGTTAAGATACATCTGAGCTAAGATGAAGCTAAGCTAAGCTAATATGAAATAGGCTAAGCTAAGATGAGATAAAAAAACGCTAAGCTAAGGGGACGTAATTGGGGGAACCGCGGGGCGGATACTGGGGGAAGGGCGCTTTCCACTGCCTGGCTCCTTTAAGCCCAGAGAGTAAGAACCCTTCTAGGCAGAGCCTAGGTAGGGAATCAATAATTTGTCGAACAAAATTTGGGGGTAAACATAACCTTTCAGAGCTCCGCGCGGATTTCTTGTATCGGCTCCATGCCCCCTTGGCGGCGTCACCGAGCGCCGCCCCTGGCGCGCTCCGCACGCCGGGCAGGAGGGGTCCGGCGCAGATCCAGAGCTCCGCGCGGAGCTCCGAAAGTTTTGCGGGCCCCAAGGACATACGCCACCACCACCTCCACCCCCCCTCCCTCCTCTACTACCCCCATCTTCCTCGCCTCCTTCCTGGGAGGGAAAGGGGTGGTGGTGGTGGTGGTGGTGGTGGTGGTGGTGGTGGTGGTGGTGGTGGTGGTGGTGGTGGTGGTGGTGGTGGTGGTGGTGGTGGTGGTGGTGGTGATGGTGGTGGTGTATAGCCTTGGGCCCCGCAAGTTTGTGTTCGTGCAGTTCTTCCGTCCTCCAGGTTGGGGAGAGGGCAGAGCTGGACACGTTCAGCTACATCGAGAGTGCTCCCGGGAGCCTCGACCAGGCCTGGCACAGCGACGCCCCCACCCCGAGGGAGCATGCAGGTTGCCACTCGCCGCCGGTCGGGGTCGTCGCGGTCGTCCCGCTCACACACATGGACGAGCAGAACGGAGCAACTGAGTTTCTTCGAAGAAGCAAAGAGCAGCATGAGCATCAACAACCTGTCCGAGGTCCGCGCGGATTCTTCTGATCGGCGCTGGGCCCCCCCCTTCCCTGGCGCGCGGAGCGTGCCTCGGGCGCCGCCGCGCCGCCAGGGGGGTTCTCGGCGCCTGTTCGAGAACTCCGCGAGGACCTCCGAAAGTTTATATGCTCATGCCGTTTTTTTCCTTCCTCGATGTCTGGCAGGGTCGCACGTCGACGTGGGGGACCCGCGCTTCTGGATGGCGGAGGGCCAGGAGTCGGCGACCACAAGCGGTGTGGCTACGCTGGGGTGTGGTCTGCGACCTGCGCCGTTCGGGCTCGGGAAAAGCATCGGGTTTTGTGCCAGATGTGTTTGATCGTCCCTGATAGGGGCGCGCGCGGAGAGCTCCGTGTCGAGGTCCCGGCCTGCCCCCCCGGGGCGCGAGTTGCAAGCCGCACCTTCTTCAAACCACACCGAGGAGGAGAAGGAGGAGGAGGAGGAGGAAAAAGAGGAGGAGGAGGAGGTCCGTAGCCATTTTAGCTCAAGGCTAGACGTTGTGAAGGGCTACAGACACCTGAGAACCAGCGATAAGCTTTGGCCCATCCGTCGTCTCTCTCTCGAACGGGGCGGAGATCGGCTCCAACTTACCATCAGCACGCACTGCGGGTCCGTCCCCGCAGTCATCCGGCATTCTTTTCTCGCAACGCCGTCGAGGCCTGAGTTCCTGCCAGCCCGCGCGCCCCCAGGGGCGACCCAGATGCTTGATGTCGGCCATGGAGATAGGCGTGGCACTTGGCTGGCTACTCGTGGCTCTTCTCATGAGGAGCTCTCTGCGGCACAGCATACAGCGCCGCCGCGTGGGAGTGCTTCGCAGGTTGGACGATCTCTTTCCAAGTCGCCAAACTCGTTCGCGACGGCGGCGGGGGATGTGCAGGATGCTAGCGATCGTCGGTCTCAGCAGGATCCTTTTCAAGAGCGCGAGCCCTGGCTGGATGGAGGCATGGCCATGCCTGGTGGAGCAGCTGCATCGACACCCCCTGGGCAGTCTCAGCAAGGGGAGGCTGCTTCATCCCGCGGCAGCCTCAATGACATGATGGTAGCCTTCAAGAACGAGATCCAAGCTTCAGTTTATAGACGTTTTGGCGAAATCAAAACAGCAATGGTGGCCGATAATAATGATCACGCAAGTGAGTTGGTTCAAAAAGTGGCTGGCAGACAGGAGCATTTCAGCGCCAACACCCAGGCGCCGAGGTCAACACATTACAAGCTAGACAGGACGCATTGGCCCATTCCCAGGAACATACGTGACAACACCTGGCTGAGATGCGGAAGGATTGGTTTCTGCCAGGAGCGGGTGATCACGATCAAGGACTATGAGGATATGGGCGCGTTCAGTCGCATCCCAGACCCCACCATCTTCGTAGCGAGCCTCACCGAGATGGCGGATGTCGAGGACGTCAGGAGCTCCCTCTCGGACTGGTTTGCGGCAGAAGGTATCACGGAGGAACTGTACAACTGGCGGGGAGCAGCCCGAACAAGCGAGTCTTGCTTCAAATGCCAGGCAACTCTGACTCAGCTCAAAGAAGAGTTCGTGCAATTCGGCGTGCCCTTCGTTTAGCATGCGGAGGTTGGAGACAGTTTGTAGCGAAAACATCGGATTGAGGCCGTGCGAGATTTTTGTTGGATTGGACATATTAGCGAAGCAAGCCAGAACGAAGGTCCGAACAAAGCGGCCTGCTGCGATGCTCAAAAAGCCGATGCCGGCAGAAAGGACGAAGCACGACAGGGCGAACATAATTGTGTACATCGATCGTGTCCCGGCGATTACGGTGCAGGCAGGAGACTCGGTCGAGGCAGCGTCAGAGCTATTATGGAACTTCGCAGCGGTGCAGGACGAGGGGGTGGACCAGAAGACATTGCAGGAGACTTTCGACGCTACGTCCTACTCGGTGGATGACAAGATGCAGTGGTCTCTTCAACCAAACGCTTCAGATATGGCAGGAGGCCTTCAAGAGAAGCGTGCCTTCGAACATCTCGTTCACGGCACGGAATGCCCGAGCGCCGCTGCACTACATAATGGGCACGAGGAAGAGATATGCGACAAGCTGAGGGACAGGTGCAAGGTCAATATATGATTGGTTTGCGGGAAGTTCATCGTGCTGAGGAGGAGCTTGACGCCAAGCTTTATCTTCGTCGATCGGACCACTCCATGTTGGCTTCTATTCCTGCACATGACTCAGGGAGAGTGACGATGACCTTCCCACTTTTCTCTTCTTGTCAGCTTCAAGAAGGCCTGGGCAATTAACACAGCCATCATAACCTCTGAGCTTATACCTGGACGCGCGCCAAAGTGACAATCAGAGCGAGGAAGGATGACAACAGGGAAGACGCAGTTGTGGTACAGAACGCTTCACACAACTTCGGACTATCAGCCGAGCAGGTGAACACGTTTGCAAACCGCACCCGAGCCGAAGTACAAGTTGGTCTTCACAGGCCAGACAGAGTTCCGTTGGCGGCGGTTGTGGAGGATTTTAATTCTTACGAGGTGGCTCCCATGTACCTCCACGCGCCCGACATCGACAACCTTAGCTTTGTCCTGTGCGATCGTGGGCATGACCGAGCTGGACCCAGAACGACCGACACACTAGACTGCCGAAGAGAATTGGCTCTCTTACATTGGCAAGGTACAGATTTCGACCCCAATGGAAATTACTCTTCTGGAACATGCCAGCTGCGGTGACGACCGACCCCGAGCGGCTATACGGTGAAAGTATCTCGGACCATGGTCATCTTCAGGTGATGCTTCGCGCTCGTCAGCTTCGCCCTTCTGACGATCAGGCCATCCCGAGGCTCGCGTGCCAATCCGCGGATTCTCTGCTGACGCTCATTCCGCTGCTGGACAAGTCAGATATATTGAGGCTTTCGCCGATCCAGCAATGGAAAGAGCTGCAGAAGATCTTTAGAGAAACTGCTAGTTTCGCCAGGAACAGGTCGACTCGCTCCTCGTCCCTTCCTCTTGAGGCGCGCTTCCTCACCCTTCGGTCGTTCTCGAGGGCCGTGCGCTTCAATGGTGCGCGCCTCGATCGCGTTCTCCTGGCCAGGACTTCGGAGGCTTCTGAGCGCGTGTCTTTCCATGGTGGCCCTGAACCCGTCGTCTCGCTTTCTGGGCCAGTGGAGTTCCGCGGGACTTTTGGACGGCTGCAACAGGAAGCACTAGAGGCTGGGCTCGCGAGGGCCCAAGAGGGGGCTCGGGTGGAGTCGGCTCCCTTCCTTGAACGGAAGCGGCTGGTGGCTTTCGTGAGAGCTGATCGGCGACGGGGTAGACGTTGGGCTCCACAAGGCAAGCCGCTCCCCCTTCCGTGGCCTCGCGGGCCCCCCGGGCGAGACCCTTCTCACTCCCTCCCTTGTGGCGTCTGCCTGGAGAGACTGCTGGGCCCCCGCCCTCGCGCCGCAGAGAGCCCCGGGGGAGCGTCTAGAGGCGCGCGTCAAGAGTCATATCAAAGTCTTCGACTGGTCGTATGCGAGTCCACCAACAGTTCCGCCGCTGCTGGCAGCTCTGAGAGGCTTGGCTTCCTCTCTCCCCGTCGCCGAATGCTGTCCCTCGATTGCCAGAGCCTTTTGTAGAATTCCAGGATCGTTTCTAAGTTCAGCTATTTAGCTCAGTTGGGTCCGATAACCAACGCCGTTCTTCGCTGGGGGTCGTGGGTTCCTCACCAGATCCTTCCTCTCCCCGCCTTTTCTTGTCCCCTCTCCCAGCTCCCCGCTTTGCGCCAGCGTTCCCGTTTACGGCCCCATTCAATGCGTGTCCAAGCCGTCTTTGCTCTGCTCCGTTCCTGTCGCCAAAGCATTTCAAGTCGGAGACCCTTGTGGACTAGGAAATGTAATGCCGCCTGAGAGCACCTCCCGATCGCATCATATAGCGTGAGCAATGCTCTTGGCGAGGCGTCAGCTGCGGTTCCGTCAGCCCCCTTGCAGAGGACGATCTTACGCACCCTCGAGGCTGTGTTCTTGCAGGGAGATCTCGGTGCGACGATTTTCTATAGGGTGGCGAAGTGGACGACAAGACCTCCCACGCCACAAGGCTTAGCGGGATGCAGTTGGTCTGTTCCGCGGGAGCGTTTGGAGTCCCTCCCCTTGCATGGCAAGCATCTGCTCTGAAAACGCTGGTGGGTGGGAGGACGACGGAGAGGAGGGTGTTTAGAAAGATGTAGCGTACAAATTCGGATGCTCTGGTGAGTGTGACACCCAGAGGCATTATTTGTCTTGCGCGCTGCTGCGGGCGGCTGTCCACGAAGTCTGGGTCCCCTCAGTTCCTCTTGAGTCTTTCCTCGATCGCCGTCTCGGTATCGTTCGCTCCATGTCGGCTGAGGATCGGCTTATTTCTGTGCAGCGATTGGTGATCGGCTTTTATTTATACCACTCCCTTCGGAGACTGAAGAGGGTTGATCAGACTGCGATTGGGCAGACGCCAGAGCTGCCAGAACGCAGCTTCTACAGCAGCAGGGTGACCGAGAGTAAGCGACTACGAACCTGGTCCGAGCTACGTGCGAGGAGGAGGAGGAGAAGGAGGAGGAGGAGGAGGAAAAGGGGGAAGAGGAGGCGGAGGAGGAGGAAGAGGAGGAGGAGGAGGAGAAGGAGGGCGGCGGCGGCGGCGCCAGCGGCGCGGTGCCCCGGCTGCAGCTGGCCGCCTCCGCGGGCAGCGCGGTGCTCTTCGACCTGCGCCTGCGCCACCGCGGCCGGGGCAACGGGGCGGAGGATCGGTACGATACAAATGGGTGCGGTAGCTTCGCGTCGTGTCGACCGGCGGCGAGCCCGCCGCCGGCGTTCAACGTTGAACGCCGCTGGCGGCCCAGAATCGGTCGATGCTGACTGATCAGACGTTTCGGAAGCGGCCGATCGTTCAAGGTTGAACGGTCTCCGCGGCGCCAGGAACCCATGCCAGGGTCGACACGGCACGAACCTTCCGTACAGTGGGGACGGGCAGCAAGAAATCGAATGCTTTTCGTCAGAGTACCCTGGGCTTTTTCGCTCCGCGCGCTGCGCGGTGCCTCTCCGCGGCCAGAAGGAGCTGCTGCGTTCAGGGTGCGTTGCCGCGATTGCGGGTTCTCAGGGCTGGGTTTCTTACGAGGGTTTCTTGCGGCCGCGCACACTGTACGGGCAGAGCGGGCACGAAGACCGACAGCATCCCTTGCTCATTCTGCACAGGGCTCGCTGGCTGTGTCGCGCGGACGGTGTCTATGTGAGGCAGCGGCTGCCTGCCCAGCAGCGGCCGCTGTCGGTTTTGAACAGGATTTGCTGCCGTACCCATCCTGGGCGTCCAGAGAGGAGGGGCGCGCGGTGCTGTACACCAGCTACGTGCAGGACCCGGAAGGGGAACAAAGTGCATAAACCCAAATGTTCGGAAGCCCGCGCGGACCTTCGAAAGTCTATGTTTATGCTGTTTTCCCGTCCTCCAGGACTGGTTCCGCGATGGCGTGAACTTCAGGGACAGGCAGACCCGTGCTTGGGACGACATGCCCGAGGTCACCCGGCGTCTCTTCGCCCGCCTGGACGGGCGAGAGTATGTCAGGGCGTTGGAGGACGCCCTCGCGGCGAGGGGGGTCGACGTGGCCGACCTGACAAGCGTGTCCCGGCATCAGCGAGGGAAGCTGGAGCTGTGATTCGCCCAGCGCAGTGCCGCACCAAGCGCGTGCGCGTAGCTGATTTTCTGCCTGCCCCGTCGCCGTCGCTGCCCTCTTCCTCGTCCTCTTGTTCTCCCCAACTCTTTTATGCTTCTCCTCCCTGTCCTTCCCTCCCCGCTTGATTATCCGTGTGCTTTCGGGGACACCCCGAAGCAGCTCCGCTGTGCAGACCCCGAGGCTGCACTCTCGCTCCCGCCCTCCCCAGGTGGCCCATGGTTCTCCACCTTGCCGTCGCAGTCGGTCACCCCCTTCGGACTTTGGAGTTGCACCAGTCTGCACCCGTTTCCATATTATGGCAGCACGCGCGCGCTCAGCGGTGAAGTTTCAGAAGCTTTTGCTACTGCCGTGGCAGCATAGACTCCCTGATAACTGAGACGCTTTCTAGCATACCTTCGAGTATAAAGATCGTCGTCCTCCTCCTCCTCCCGATCATCGGCGTTGAGCCTCGCCCTCCACAGCGCCGTGAGCCGTCTGCTCCAGGGATCATCCAAGCACTCTGAGCTCGATGTGTGCGTGTTCGTGATACCGTGCCTTTCGAAGTTGTTACGGTTCAGCCCGTCTAGAGCATACACTGTCTTTGGATCAAGCAATCTCATCGTGCGATCGGACCGATATTCTCGGCAAGTGCGGGCGCCTTCTGGCGATGCTTGCGGAATTCACCTCGTGTGGGCCTGACATCTTAGCTCCTCCTCCTCCTGCTCCTCCTCTTCACGGGTCATCACTGTCCTTGAGCTGGACTGCAGCCTTGGCGCGTGCGTGCTCGCGGATTTGCTTAGTGCAGCCCTTGCCCGGCATATTGATGTTCCCAGGCTGTCGTGCAGCCCTTGTCAAGCGTTCAACCTTCTCCTCCTCCTCCTCCTCCTCCTCCTCCTCCTCCTCCGTTTTGGACGGCAGTGGGGTCGGGCGTCTTGGTTGGCGTCGAGAGGTCCCCCCTAAACCTCTCTCATGCCTGGTGGGATCTGCAGGGGGATGGCTTTATCTCTATGCTTCTGGATCGCACCGTGAGGGAGCTCAACAGGCTGACGGAGTGAGCAGCCACGGCCGCCCCGCGCAGGCCGCTAGCGGGCCCCGTCGCCGTGCAGTGACGACTCGCGCGTCGTTCGTTCGTTCCTTCCATCCTTTCTCTCCAGGGGTCACGTCGCCAGCATCGCAGAGCGGATTTCGTTCGGAAGACGATAGGGTGGGCCCGGGGTGTCCTGGAGAATTTCGTTCCGGATTTCGAGGTGAATTTCGTGCGGATTGTTTTGGCCAGGAATGAAGACCAAGAAGAATCCACGCGAAGCTCCTTTCGTTTTCCGCTCGGCGCTTCGGGCAAAAATCAGCGCAGAAATCAGCGCAGAAATCCGCTGCAGCACATCTGCAAGGCCGGTGGTTTCGGCCCCGCCGCCGGGCCCACTCCTCGATACAGGGGCGCCTCCCGGCGCCGGGAGTCGCTGGGAAAATCAGCTACGTAAGCTGATTCTCTACCCCTCGACTCCCAGGAAAATATGGGAAAATATGGGACGTGGGAGGGAAGACGAACACCCAGAAAATATGTGGAAATCTGGGGAGTCCTGGGATCTGTGTGCGCTCCTGTTTATGTGTCCCGGGGCCCCCCTTTCCAACGGAGCCGATGCCTGGGCCCTCGCTTCCTCCCGCCCTCCACGGGGCCACCCCGCGGGCGCCCCTGGGCCCAGGCCCTCGGGGGCCGGAGCGCACGGGGGCCCTGGGGAAGGACAGCCGTCGGGGCCCCCCTCGGCGAGGTCCCCCGCTCTCCGGGGCGCTCGCCGGCGGCGAGGCCGACGGGGAGAAAAGGAGGGGGCCAGGGGCCCCCAAAGGGTCGGGTGCTGCTGGAAGTACGCCCCTGGCCCAAGGTGACCCCAGGAGTCTCTCTCGGGGGGGCTCGGACGGCCTCCAGAGCACCCCTCATGAGGCCCAGAGGGCCCCAGGAGCTCCCAAACGGAGCGGAAACCTGAGGGCACCTTGGGCCAGGGGCATTTCTAGCAACACCCGAAACGGGATGGTGACCACACCGTGTGGTGAGTTGGTGGGGATTCGGGGTCACCGCACGGTTTTGGGGCTCAGGTCGTTCTCCGAGGACGTCTCGGGCGATTAGGGCCTCAGGTCCCAAGTCCGTGCGCTGACGGACCGTGCGGTGAGGTCTTGGGGGATTTCGAGGTCACCGCACGGTCTGTCATCGCACCGTTTCGGGACGCCAAAGAGAGTCAAAGAGAAAGAGAGACACACGTGCATGTATATATATATATATACACACACAAGACTGCAGTGGCGCTTCGCGCCATGCACCTTGGTCCTTGAACTTTGGTTTGCAGGCGGAATGGCAGAAAGGTCAAGCCGACAATTTAGCGATAACTCCTGGTTGCCTTTTCTGGCATCGCCGCTATAATGATGTTATTCGTTATCCTTCCTCCATGCTTATTGTTCCTTATTTTCGCCATACCCTGCGCATTCTCCACATCCTCCTCAGCTCTTTTTTGCGGAAGCTCCTCCTTGGGGAGCCTCTAGGGGCCTCACAAAAGTTGTTTCGGGCTTTCTTAAGGCCTTCTGGAGGCCTCCTGGGCGTATTCTGGGGGCCTCCGGGGGCTTCCTCGGGCCACCCTGCTTCCAACCGCCGTCTCCCTGAACGACCGAATCACGATTTGGAATTCTTCGGAGGGTGTCTTTGGGCCATCTTGGGCCGCCATGGGGCTCTCTGAGGGCCATCTTGGACCCGTGTTGTGCCGTTTTGGGGCTCTCTTGGACTGCCTGGAAGCCCTTTCGGATGGTTGTGGGGCGATTTGGGAGCCTCCCAGGCGGCTTCGGACGCCCAGAAGACCGCCGTCTTGGAGCGTCGGGAAGCCGAAAAGAGGAGAACCCCCAAATTCACCAAAAACCCTGAGAAAATCAATGATGTTTGCCTCAGGGGGCCTTCTTGGGAGTGCTCTTGGAGGCCTCTTTGGGGCCGTCCTGGAGGCCTCTTGGGCCATCTTGAGGTCACGTCGGTCACTCTTGGAGCGCTCTTGTGCTGTCTTGGGGGTCTCTGGGACGTCTCCGATGACCCCCCTGATCGCCCTAAGTGTGCTCGGAAGGCTTGGCAAAATGCCTTGCGAGGCCCGGTGGCCGCTTCGAGGCCCGTCCGGAGGGCCCCAAAGCCCCAGGTCCTGAGTGTCCGGTTTTGGGTGGGGGGGGATGATCGGTTTTCCCCCTGCCCGGGCTTATAAAATATAGGAAGAGGAATATAGAGCGAGAGGGAGGGAGGGAGAGAACGATAAGAGAGAGAGGGAGAGAGAGAGAGAGCGATGAGAGTCTGCGAGATTGGAAAGTGGCATGCGTAGATGGAGAGCTCAGCGGTGACCTGCCAGTCGGCAGTGCAGGCGAAGAAAGGTCTGACTGTCCCGCGCTTCCCTCCAGCGAACTCACGGCGTGGCGCGGCAAGGTTGCAGAGGACCGCATGGACATTCGCTACACAGAGGGTGAGCTGCGTTGTCTGGAGCGCGCTGCCAGCGCTCTGCTCCTTCGCCAGTGCACATGGTACCGAAAAATGATGTCGCAGAAGTTTGTGCAGCAGTGGAGGCAATGATCAGATGTTCGTACGCAGCGAGCTGCGAGAGACACGCTCGTCCACCCCTCGTGAGTGTGCACTGCCGCGGGATTGTACTGCTGCTTACCTTGGTGGCCTGCGAAGCTGGCGCCGCTGCGCTAGAATTTGCCGTCAAAGCGCTTTTGGAAGCGCCTTGCAGGCGGCACTGCGTATCAGCATTAGTTTCGCGGGACATTGGACTGGAATTCATCACCCCGTGGGAAGGGGAGAAGGCCAGCATAAGAATAATAAGAAGAAGATGAAGAACCTGAGTTGTCCATTGCATTATTGCTTATCCGATTCCTCCGCGGTGTGTTTTTGCTCTTTCCTGTGATCTCTCTCGCTCACTATCTCTCTATCTCTTGAGCTGCTTGTGAGCCTGTTGATTGTGCTTCGTCCCCACCTCTCTGTGGCACGCTGGACAGGAGATGCCCCAGCTCCGGTGCCTGCTGGAGGGCCGGATGGGTTATTCATAGTCGATCATTGTGGGCAGAGTGTTTTGCATTCGACGACCAGCAGAGTCGGTGAACGGACAGAGCCCACGTAGCACAATCATCATCGATGCGTGATAGCCTCCTTGAACATGCAATTGGACTTGGGTTGCTTGTTACCACTGTCACCCAGTGCAGTGATGCTTGGTCGACGTCAGATGGTTTTCGTTCAGAACCTGTGTCTGCAAGTAATGAGTTGCGTGTGATGACACATCGCTGGGCGTTGGGCATGGCCTTGCGCGCAATCCTGGCCAGGTGGACAAAGTTTACACGCCGCCGAATTCATTTGCGGTATTTTGCACCAGCTGACGTAAGCTCTGATTACAACGTGCGCTAGCGAAGCTGTCGTTGACTGCGACTATTCATCGATTGACACCTGAGGTAAGGTCACGACGCAATGTAAACGTGCTTGCCTTCCGTTTGCCCCAGTGATCTTCGGATGATGATGCAGCACTCTAGCGCTATAGGCTCCCCGAAGACACGGCAGTTGGAATGGTGCGATCAGACCACACATGCAAGTTGTTGTCATGCGTCAGTTGTTGCATGCATGGTCTATCCTCCACACCCGTCTTCCTAGAGGCTTGACTTTTATCCCCTCCCCCTTATATTCCTTGCCTTCCTTCGCACACCCCTGTGAAATCCCTTCTAACTCTTCACTTCTCCCTCTTCTACCGCTCCTCCTCCTCTTCCGAATCATGTATAGCAGAGCGTCTTTACTCACATGCAGTTTAAGCGTATTTGTACATTCGTAGCGCATTTGGCCAGACCAGAGCCGTCACAGAGGCCTTAAGCTCCAGCAGCTCCTCCTCCTCCTCCTCCTCCTCCTCCTCCTCCTCCTCCTCCTCTCCTCCTCCTCCTCCTCCTCCTCCTCCTCCTCCTCCTCCTCCTCATCCTCCTCCTCCTCCTCCGCCTCGTCCTCCTCTCTCTCCTCCTCCTCTCCTCCCTGCTCCTCCTCCTCCTCCTCCTCCTCCTCCTCCTCCCTTCCTCCTCCTCCTCTTCCTCATTATCCTCTTCCTCCTCCTCCTCCTTTCCTCCTCCTCCTCCTCCTCCTCCTCCTCCTTCTCCTCCTCCTCCCTCCTCCTCCTCCTCCGCCTCGTCCTCCTATCCTTCTCCTCCTCCTCCTCCTCCTCCTCCTCCTCCTCCTCCTCATCCTCATCCTCATCCTCATCCTCATCCTCATCCTCATCCTCATCCTCTCCTCCTACTCCCCCTGTCCCTCCTTCTCCCACTGCTACCCTCTTGCTCCCTCTCCCAGCCTCCGTCGCCGCGCCTCCTCTGTTCCGCATGCCTCCTCCCCTGCTCGAGGCTCTACGGTGGGGGCGTTGGTTAAGGAATGTGCCCAGGAGGCTTCGGACCCTGGAGGATTCCTGATCTGAGGAGGGCGGTGGTGATGTCCATGGCCCTTCCACGACTGGAGGTCCAACGGCTTCCAGACCCTGGATTCCTCACCCAAAGGTTTCTTCTTTCCAAGGCCTTCGCCACAACACGTCTTCTCGGTTTCTTGCCGCCCCTGCGAGGAACATCTCGCCTCGCCCCCAGATGCTCCAGAATTCGGCCCCGCCTGCAGCCGCAGCCGCAGCATGGGGAGGAGCGGCACGCCCTGTCGAAGGGCAGCGGCGAGATGGACGAGTCCCAGGAGCGCAACGAGGAGCCCAGGGGGGGAGGGGGGGGCGTCTCCCCCGATCCCCTGTTTCTCAGACTGGGCGCTCCCGCCCGGGCTAATTAGGGCACCGCGGCCATCATCGAGGCTCAGGAGACGGGGGTCAGGGTCAGTCAGAGCGCCGCATCTTGCAGGATCCTGCAGGGCCTAGGGTGCACTGTCCCGGGCTTGGGCGCAGGATTCTGCAGGATCTTGCAAAGCCTGACTGACCCGGGTCTGGATTGACACGGGTCAGAAGATCCCCGACATCATGGGTCGACCCCGCTCGAATAGTGCCGCAGAAAGATATGGTCTCGGGCTCCTTGGTCGTGATTTTTGTGTTCGCGCTCCTGCAGTTTCTTGCTCGCAGCGTCGGGTCTCGGGGCCCGTGCCCGTCGCTTCCCACCGCGGCCCACTCTGCCTGCCGATCGCCAGCACTCCCGGCTGGCCGCCGTGCCTCCTTCCTGCGACCAAGCAGGCGCAGTCGTGCGCAGTCGAGGTGCTGCAGGCGTGCTCCTCCTCCCTCCCTCGCGCAATCGACACACTGAAGGCGTGCTCCTCCCCCCCTCACTCGCGCAATCGACGAACTGCGGGTGTACTGCTCCTTCCCGCCCTCCTCCTCTCTCCGCCTCTCCTCCCGCTTCCCCCGTCGTTGTCCTCCTCTTTCTCTCGCTCTGGTGGCCGGACCAAACGTGTCTACACCCGTGGCACGAAGACCATACCACGTGATGTTGAATACCATCTCGCATGATGTATGTCCCGCCCCCCTCCCTCCCCAGGCCCAATGTCGAAGCGTCCACATGTTGTCCGTCGCGCGTTGCCTCGCGCGCGCACCCCTGTCAAGTTTGGGCCAGGGGGGAGGGGGGCTATCGGGTTCTTTGGATGCACCCCGCCGTTGCGTTGTCTCGGCGCGGTGGGCGTGGACACTTTTTGCCAACCCACCGTCCCCCTCCACCATCCGGTACATCGACAAAATGTTGCACCACCTGGTGCCCGCGACATCAGACGTCGTTGTGCAATCGACGTTCCGTGCTCGCTCCACCCCCTCCCCCCAATGTAATGTTGGCTACGGGCCAGCATCGCCGAAACAAGCATTATGTCGGGCGCCTGGGGAATGCGGAGGAGCTTCTTCTCACGTGCCCCCAATATAGATCATTATATATATATATATATATACAAGACTGCAGTGGCGCTTCGCGCCATGCACCTTGGTCCTTGAACTTCGGTTTGCATGCGGAATGGCAGGAAGGTCAAGCCGACAATTTAGCGATAACTCCTGGTTGCCTTTTCCGGCATCGCCGCTATAATGATGTTATTCGTTATCCTTCCTCCATGCTTATTGTTCCTTATTTTCGCCATACCCTGCGCATTCTCCACATCCTCCTTAGCTCTTTTGTTGCGGAAGCTCCTCCTTGGAGAGCCTCTAGGGGCCTCACAAAAGTTGTTTCGACTTTCTTAAGGCCTTCTGGAGGCCTCCTGGGCGTATTCTGGGGGCCTCCGGGGGCTTCCTCGGGCCACCCTGCCTCCACCCGCCGTCTCCCTGAACGACCGAATTACGATTTGGAATTCTTCGGAGGGTGTCTTTGGGCCATCTTGGGCCGCCATGGGGCTCTCTGAGGGCCATCTTGGACCTGTGTTGTGCCGTTTTGGGGCTCTCTTGGACTGCCTGGAAGCCCTTTCGGATGATTGTGGGGCGATTCGGGAGCTTCCCAGGCGGCTTCGGACGCCCAGAAGACCGCCGTCTTGGAGCGTCGGGAAGCCGAAAAGAGGAGAACCCCAAAATTCACCAGAAACCCTCTGAAAATCAATGATTTTTGCCTCGGGGGGCCTTCTTGGGAGTGCTCTTGGAGGCCTCTTTGGGGCCGTCCTGGAGGCCTCTTGGGCCATCTTGAGGTCACGTCGGTCACTCTTGGAGCGCTCTTGTGCTGTCTTGGGGGTCTCTGGGACGTCTCCGATGACCCCCCTGATCGCCCTAAGTGTGCTGGGAAGGCTTGGCAAAACGCCTTGCGAGGCCCGGTGGCCACTTCGAGGCCCGTCCGGAGGGCCCCAAAGCCCCAGGTCCTGGGAGTCTGTTTTTTTTTTGGGGGGGGGGATGGGTTTTCCCCCCGCCCCGTCTTATAAAAATATACCTAGGAAGAGAAATGTATTGATGGGGGGGAGAAGGGTTGCTAAGGGTTGAAGCGCGCGTGCGAAGAGCAACGTAACGTGGTGCAACATGTCTCGTCGATCTGCCGTCCCTGCTCGTTCCGTGCCATTTGGGCCTCGGGCAGCGCGGCGGCCACCCCGCCCCAGCCAGGGCGGCGGCGCGTCCCCGCGGCCCTCCCTACATCTTCGGGGCCCCGCCCCCACCCCCCCTCTTGCGGCCGCCTCGCCTCGGCGACGCAGCTCGCCGCGCACCTCGAGCCCTCGAGCCGCCAGCCTCGGCCACCTCGGGGGAAGAAGCGGGCGACACCGCCGAGAGGAAGCGTCACGGCCCGATCTTTCCGCGGCCTCCTTCGAGCCGGATCGCCCCGTGAGGGCCCCGAGGCCGGGCGAAGAAGCGCCCAGTGTGAAAAATGCAACGCCGAGATTTCAGGGTCGTCATCTCCCTTCCCCTCCTCGCATCCTACTGCGCGCCCGCCACCTCCTCCTCCTCCTCCTCCTCCTCCTCCGATGCACGCAGCTCCCCTTCTCCGATTGCGCATAACCCGCTGGGGTCGTGCTCTGAAGCTCCAGTTCGGCTATGACACGCGTCCGCGGAGGGAGAGAGAGAGAGAGAGAGAGAGCGAGAGAGAGGGAGAGGGAGAGAGAGACAAGAAAATAAGAAATCAGCGCAATGGAAAGGGATGGGAGGGAGGGACATAATGTCCGATGTGGCGCCGACGCACAGTGCTTGCCCCTCCGCCTCCCTCTCCCCATGGGCGAGAGCGGTGGCGGAAGAGGGCAGAGAGAGAGAGAGAGAGATCGGGCAGGCCGTCGAGAAGTTTGTAGCCGCGGGGTGGATCAAGATCGACCTGCCCTCCAAAGGGCGAGGAGGCGCGCCCCCCGACCCCTCCAGGAGGGCGGCCAGGAGCTGGGCATCGCCTGGGCGCGTGCATTCTTTCCTCGGCGAGGACCCTCGAGGGGCATCTTGGATCTTCTTGCGAGGAAAGAACGCACGATGCTGAAGCATGCACGGGGGATGGACGTCCGAGCGATATGGCAAGGGAAGCGCAGCGGAGGAGGCAGATGAGGATGATGCTGCTGCTGATGATGGTGGTGATGATGATGATGAGGATGAGGAGGAGGATGATGATGATGATGATGATGATGATGATGGTGGTGGTGGTGGTGGTGATGATGATGATGATGATGATGATGGTGGTGGTGGTGGTGGTGCTGATGATGGTGGTGGTGCTGATGATGATGATGCTGCTGATGATGATGGTGATGATGATGCTGATGATGATGATGATGATGATGATGATGATGATGATGATCATGCTGATGCTGATGCTGCTGATGATGATGATGATGATGATGAGGAGGAGGAGGAGAAGGAGGAGGAGCAGGAGGATCTGGGCGGCTCATGCCGCTAGCGTGCTCACGGGGCGAGAGCATCCCCGGCCCGCGCAC